GACCAGAATGTTTCTCCCTCTATAACACAGAATGCACCTCATCTATGAAACACCGTATTTAAGATAAGATAAAATAACGTTTTTGATCTTTCAAAGGGGAAACTTACATGTTACAGCAGCCGGACACAGATGAGGGAAGGAAGGAGCAGGACAAGAATTTAAAAAGCACAATAAGGCTAAAAAATAAATACAGGTATAAGAAGGAAAATATACACCTTTACCATGTGCCGATGAGGCATGATGAATTTACATTGAACAGAATAGAATAGTTTTTATCGCCATTACACGAGTACATTACAGAACAGGGACACTGGAGTTCTTGAAATTCTTGAAACTCAGCTTTAAAGAATAAAAGCAGGAGCAGCAGCAAAAGATAAGCTATATACAAATATATATTATAAGAATAAAATAAATAAACATGATACAAAACACTCAATATTTCATGTCATCTCTGAGTCCTTCATTATGAAATGATGTCTATTTAGAAAGAGCTCCAGTCCTTTACTGTACTATCTTAAAGTGCTGTTTGAATCTTCTCTACTATACTTTTGACCTTCTTCATCTAACCAACCTGCGTTCTTCACTTTCCACCTCCTCCTCCTCCTCCAGACAACACGGCCAGCATCGTGTCTCGGCGGCGCGACGGCTTCAGCGTGGACCGAGACCAGGACCTGTTCAGCCTGGTGATGGTGGTGTCGGACGGAGGGGAGCCTCCTCTCAGCAGCACCGTCACTCTGTCCCTCAGGGTGTGCATCTGTCAGAGGAACACCAGGGGGCGCAGCAGCAGCAACGTGTGCCAGGCCCAGGCCTTCCTGTCCTCGGCCGGCCTCAGCACCGGGGCCTTCGTGGCCATACTGCTGTGTATTGTCATTTTATTAGGTACGTATGTTGCATGTCGCATGTTGACACTGGCAGTGGACGTGCAGCATTTCACACATTGTCTGATTAAATAAGACTTTAAATCATTTATGATGATGAGGATGAATGAAGGTGACAAACTAGTGCCCCTGGATTCACTGGCTGTCACATCATAGAAGGGTTTTTCCATCTCAGATCGTCAGGGGCCCTCGTCTGTGATTTATTTATCATAAACTATCAATAAACAAAGTCGGTATCAGACTTCGTCTTTTTTTGTCAGCCTACTTTTACCTTGTTTTGGGGTTTTTTTGCACTTTCAAATTTGAAGCTAGATGACAAAATCTCACAAACTATTAAAGATGAAAGCCTGAAATTTTCACCGTTATTTCTCATCATGTCAGTGACTTCAAATGTGCAAAATCAGTTGAGCAGATCAAACAGGCTCTGATTACGGTTGAGCTGAAATATGAAAGAAAAAAAAAAGTGAAGCTGTCCCATGTTTGAGCTCACATTAACGAAACAAAAAACTAATAATGCAGAAGTCATCTAGTAATATTTTCTAGACCGTATGTAGTTTCATGTCATGTATTTTTTAAATATCAAATACTTGTTTTCTTCTGTTTACCGTATGAAGACCATGAGATGTGGTGGAAAGCATCCAACTGTTGCATTGAGTATTGTTTTCATAAAGTCTAAGAATCGTCTCCTGCAGCCATTTTTAATCACATCAGTAGTGAAAGTAGTTAAATTATGGAGATGTATGCACTGTTAGTGAAAATTGGTGCTACATTGCATTACTATCATGGTGAAGTTTGGAAAAAAATCTGTTTTGTCACATAGTAATGTTAAAATAAATGTATTTATCGAGTAGGATGATGCACACCTAATGTGCATTAGAATACATGATGAAAGTGATTTAAAACTTTTAAATATTTGCCCATCCTCTCCTGCTATATATTGCTCTATTTTGAGGTTTTTGTGGTAAAGGTAGAATCATTCCTGTCGTGGATTTGTCTCATTTCGTTTGCTAGCACATTACTTTTTTGTCGCTAGACGTAGAAGCTGATTAAATCCCTCCAAAAATTCTTCCCATGAATTATCTGCCTGTTTTATTGTGTTGTATGTAAATTCTTGATAGTTTCTTGGACAAAAGCCTCTTTATGTTCTCAGAGAATCTAGTCAGAGAGAATTCAATCTGCAAGTCATTTTCTATATCTGTAAAGTATTGTGAATGTTTTTGGTTTTTCTTTCTTACTCTTGTTTGTACCCTTTTGTCCTTCCTCTCTTCCCTTTAACTCTACTTTGCTCATTTCTCTTCAGCCATCGTGATGCTGTTCACCCAGCTACGAAACAAGAAAGCAAGCAAAGACCCTTTGATCCTATCCGAGGAGGACATCAGAGAAAACGTGGTGACCTACGACGACGAGGGCGGCGGCGAGGAGGACACCGAGGCCTTTGACATCGCCGCGCTTCGAAATCCCAAAGCCTCCGAGCCCCGCAGGAAGTTCCACGGCTACCTCGGCCGCGGACCGAGCCCGTACGGAGAGGAGGACGAGATCGAGGAGGACGAGGAGGAAGACGGGATCGTGGTGGTGAGGAGGAGGAAAACCAGGGAGCCGGACTACAGCTACTACAGTCCGGAACCTAAACCTGCCTGGTTCGTCATCGACTGCGTTCCTCGAGAGATCAGTCAGTCGGCGCCTTCGCTTCTGCTCGATGGTCACGACATAATCCAGCAGATCATCCAGCAGAAGGTGGTTGAGGCAGACTCTGACACTCGGGGGCCGCCTTATGACTCCCTTCAGACGTACGCCTATGAAGGCCGCGGGTCCTTAGCCGGCTCGGTCAGCTCATTGGGCCTCACCGAAGCTCTGCCCGAACTAAACTATGCCGACCTGGAAGACTGGGAGCCGGAGACGCAAACGCTGGAAAGAATTGCCGGAGAGGAGACGGCGACAAACCAAGCTAACCCAGACTCCTAAAAACTCCTGTCAAATGGGTTGTTTTCTACTTCTGAGCTAATTTGCTGAGGCAAATGACTTTTTATTTATGCCATTTAAACCTGGCTGCAAAATTACTGCCGCAAAAAGCTGGCAATGTGGAACTGTGATATCGTGTGAAATCAGAGGATAAGAAAAGCCATTTATGTCCAGCAGAAGAAAAGAGCGCTCACAGGCTGAAGGGAAACTTGTCCGAGCTCGTGTACCTTTCTGAAACGATGAACAAAACGCTAACGGACCGAATAACAGGGTGGACATGCCAATTTGCATACAATTTTCTCCCTGTGCTCTGCTTGTTTGGTGTGTTGGTAGAGAAGTTACAGCTGGTCCTGGGCCCAAAGGATTCTGGTCTTTATCTGTACCATTGCTAAACCTAAAAATCCTTACACAGAGATGAATATCAAATTCCCTTGGAGCACTGTGAAACAAGGTTGAAGGTGCAGGTTCCAACATGGAGTTTTATTGATTCGTTATTCAGAAACAAAAGAAAATGAAGCCGACTGTGATGGAAGTTTTATCTTCAGTGTAAAGAACAATCAAGAGGAAGCCGATGGCCCAACTGGAAAGTGCACAAGCTGCTGACAAAGGCCAAAGAAAGCTACGGAAAAGTGGTCGATTATTATTGTTTACTGATTCTGTTGAGTTCAAAGAACCCTAAATATGTTTGCATGCACATAATGGCAGCAGGGTCCTGAAGCACCAGGTTCTCAGGTGTGGGTTAGTGAAGGTTTATCAATCCAGATTCCAGTTTTACGAACATAATCTGAGCCTATGAGACCAAAATGCCAAGAACATCAGGTAGTCGCTCGTTTCCTCCACCGCAGGAACCCAACAACCCCAAACCCAAGTAAGAAATGGTAAATAACAACATAATTATAGTGTGTTTGGAACTTCACAGTCATCGAATAGAGAGTGGGGCAGCTGCTGCTCGAGCCTAAAACAACTTCAGGCAGTAAAATGTTTACCACGTCAACAGAGGCTGCGTCCGTTGCGTCGGCAGCATGAACGCGACTTTCGTTAGTCGCTCGCACAAACCTGCACAGTTGAGGTTCTCCAGAGGGATTCAAGCGTTCCCTTACAGAAGAAACACATGAATTTCACATGTGGCTGAATGCACAAGTGATTTTGCACATATAAAAGTTAAAATAACTAGTGAAACATGTGGGTTGGGAACATTTTCATGCTGTATATGTGTAAAAACCCGTGTAAACTCCAATGACAAACCTCTGGAACTACATGTGGAAAAAAGGGGTTACGATAAATAACTCCACAGAACTCATACAGCAAACCACTGATAGTCTGAAAGGAGGAGACACCACGATGCTGTGACTGAACAACCAGCAGGATGCATGATATGATCTGACAGGCAGATTTCAAAACGTTTTCAAGATACAATTCTGAAAATTTGCGTTTCTTTCGACGACACAAAGTTTGCCTGCCATTTATTTATCATATGTCGTGTTTCCCCACAATTAAGACGTTATGTAACTGATAGAAAATGGGAGTTTACTTCTAAAGATGCAAAAATTCAGACAAACAAGTGACACGAATGAGGTGAATTTGCAAATATATTAACAAAACTGGGATCATAAAACTCCTAAGAGGGCACAAAATATCTTCTGGGAAAAAAAAACTGAATTAAGAATTTGGAACAACTTACTGTATATTTGAGTGTGTGTTTGAGGAACGACATCAAAGATTAGAGAAGCACAAACATCTTTTCTATTCTGTCTCTTCTGTTTCGTTTCTTTTATTATTTGGAATCCATGACTGACTTTGTTATTCTCAAGTGATGACTGGTCTTTGTGTTCATGATAGTCAGGTTTACAAACCGCTACAGACAGACACTGTGCAGACCCACAACAGGCGCTCTAGAAACCCTCCAAAACTGGACTCACCGGTATCAGTATCTCGGCATATACAGTATAAATAGTTTACCATGTTTCCCTTTCTGCTCGTCTCCTGGTGTCTTCATTTTTGTGCCATGCAGGCCTTGATCTCAGTGTCTCCGATGCCTCTGTGAACTTTTGACATGGTCTGTAAGAAATGAAATAATAAATTTACTTCAGTACTCACCAAACAAGTTTGGAGTCGGATTCCAAGGCCTCATAAATGTATAATGTGTAAAGCAGGGTTTTGTGTGTGTGTGTGTGTGTGTGTGTGTGTCAGCAAGCTGATCCTGTAGCATTTTGTCCAACCCGAAAATGATTCTGGCATGTTTACCGTTTACTAGCTTCACTCTGGTTCGTCAAGGTTCTGTCTTTCCTCCCCTGATGATCCCCTTTTTTTCCTGCGACAGAGCACATCGCCGTCTATTCCACAGTGAAGATGGGAGTTCGTCACAGTCCTGGTAAGTTCCTCACACCTTTGGAGATCATCCAAGAAGACTGGATTCATCGAGTCAGTGGCAGTCTTATTCGGCAAAGGTGAAAAAAAATATTAGAAAATCGCCGTGTAGTCCTAGAATGTGAAAAAAAAAGAACATACAGTTGTAAGAGGTGTGGCACTGGGTGGCAAGACGCAGTTCAAGTGTCAACAAGTCCTAATTTTAGAACATGGAAGTCAAAACCTCAAGAATCGAGTTGAATGAAATGTATTGTGATTATACACAATGAAACTCAGTAGTTAAAAGATCACAGAGAAGGATTTATTTAAATATTCAATTCAATTCAATTTTATTTGTATAGCGCATATTTACAACAAGAAGTCATCTCATAGTGCTTCACAAAGGCAGAAACAGAAACACCCAACAATCCAAAACATTTGGATTCCCTATAAGCTTCAGCAGTCTGAAAGCAGTCCGCAACAGTGGGAAGGAACCGAAAACCCCCGCAGGGGAAAAAAAACCTCCGACAGAACCAGGGTCAGGGAGAGACGGCCATCTGCCTCGACCGGTTGGGTGGATGTAGGATGATACCAGACAAAGAGCAGCACCAGAAATAAATACAGCAATAGAATAAATTAAATGAAACTAGAAAGTTTCAAGTATCAATATGAAAGTCCGGTGCTAGTTGAAGTGAGCTTAGATTTAAATCAATTCTAAAATCACTACATTTTGACATCAGGTTTTATTTATGAGCTGCAAGGTGGCACAGTTGGTAGCACTGTCGCCTCGCAGCAAGAAGGTCACCCGGGATCTTTCTGTTAGGAATTTGCATGTTCTCTCTCTGGGTTCTCCAGCTTCCTCCCACAGTCCAAAAACATGTTGAGGTTAATTGGTGATTCTAAATTGTCTGTAGGTGTGAATGTGAGTGTGCTTGGTTGTCTGTCTCTAAGTGTAGCCCTGTGATAGACTGGTGACCTGTCCAGGTGTCCCCTGCCTTCACCCTGAGTCAGCTGGGATAGACTCCAGCCCCCCATGACCCTAGTGAGGATTAAGCGGTGTATAGATAATGGATGGGTTTTATTTGTATTAAATAACTACAATGTAATAAATAAAACCTATTACACAGCACACAGCATTGTACGTGATAGTTTGAGTGCAACCTCAAAAACTATAACACCCAGGCTATAATATGGCTCAAAGAGTCATAAATGAGCAACACAAACTAGTCCTTGTGGAGGGAAACCACGCAACAAATGGGCATTCAGGTTCTTGTTTATGCGACATGCTATGTAACCTTGTGTATTCTCAGGTGACTAATTTGCACATTTCTCCACACTGATAGTATTTCTATTCCTTTTTGTGTTTTATAAACCTTTGATTATACTATTTGACGTATAACACTGCTTCTTATTCACCTTGGTACACTTAATACATACAGCTGGCAGCACTTTTTAATCTCTATGTAACTGGTTCCTGGTATGCACTAAAACACCAGGTCAGACTCCTTGTATGTGGAAACCTACTTGGCAATAAATCCTTCCTGAAAACTTTACAACCTTTACAATTGATTAGGTTTAGTGTTTGATCGCTTTGTAATTATTTTGTCAAGTTTCAAAGCATTTACATAACAGAAGTGAGAGGTTAAAGAGAGTTGGCACAGTGTTTACCACATGATGAAGTGGGTGTTGGGAGGTTTTAACAATCAAGACTCTCACTTGACTTATTCTTTAACAGACAACGGTGTAGAGTTAGGAAGGCTAAATGAAATCCACAAAACAATGACTCATTTCCATTCTTAGTGCATTTGTGGTTCAGGTACAAAGCAGAGCAACCTACTGGGACACTTGGAAGTCATTCTTTCACGCTGAATAAGTCAGATAAAAGGCTAAACTTTACTTTGTAGACAGCGAGCTAATATCCAAGCTAACAAATGCGAACAATTAAACTCTGAGCTCGAGCGGCTGACTTCATTCTCTGAACCTGTTCTCGTCGATTTAATGTGCTGTGATTGGTGCCTTGAGTGGTGCACTGCATGAGTAAGGGTTGTTAGCCCGAGCTTTGTCAAACTAAACAACACAGCTTTCTCAAAGAACTACAAAGTGTTGATGGACGTAGGTGGTGGTTGATTCAAATTGACACAAACACGACATTGAAGTTGGTGGTTGGCATCAACTGGTTTGTGACTGGATCAGGATGGTGACTCAGGTGGTAGAAGATGATAATATAGATTTTGATGACTGGACTACAGTTTTGTCGTGGAAGAAGATGATGATGGATATGTGAATGCGAGTCAAAGCAGCGAACAGAGAAGGGAGGATAAAGGCAGCAGAATTTAAAATAAACCCCAAATTCAGAGACCATGTAGTCTGATAGCATTTTCTAGGAAACGGTTTGCAAGTAAACAATGAGTGGCAGAAGGATTGTGGGTGACGGTAAAGTGATAATCGGTATTGTAGACTTGGACAACTTAAATGGAGGCGAGTTGAGGAGGAGGAAGAGATGGTTACAACCAATAATGGCGACTGCATTAAGTGTCAGTCAGTTCTTCTGGAGTTTTAGGAATCTGGAATCTGCTCTCTCTGTGGATGTCTCTGGAGCTCCTGAATTACAGCCGCTGGCCTCACCTTCTGCATCCTGCTGCCCCCACCATGATGCC